TACTATTATTATATTGGGGCCTCCATACCCCAATAAGAAACCGACAAGGGAGAATAGAGAGGAGGGAGTGGTTAGCGTAGCGCGCAAAGCCTCAGCTTTGCTAAGCCGAAGGTCCCGAGTTCGATTCCCGTTGGGTCCCTCAATATTTTTCCATCGTCGGTTCCTACGTATGGAGGCTCGTCCGGGATGGGGAGGTACCTACGGCTACACAAAGCCAGAGGATGTGCGATGAAAAACATCTCGAGGATTGCACATCTCCCAAAAATGCATTGTTTCGGCTGTGTGCCACTGTGTGGGGGAGTCTGCCCGAAAGTGTTGATGGTAAGCCGAAGGTCCCGGATTCGATTCCCGTTGGGTCCCTCAATACTTTCCCCTAGGTTCCTACAAATGGGGGCTTGTCCGGGATGTGGGAGGCATCTACGGCTGCACGAAGCCAGGAGTTGTGAGATGAAAACATCTCGAGGATTGCACATCTCCCAAAAATGCATTGTTTCGGCTGTGTGCCACTGTGTGGGGGAGTCTGCCCGAAAGTGTTGAGTTGTGTTGCACTGAGGACATTCGAGGGCGAATGTCAGTTCAGGATGGCCGAGTGTAGTATCGGGGCCTCCATTCCCAAAAATAGGAAACCTCGAAGGGACAATAGAGAGGGAGTGGTTGGCGTAGCGCGCAAAGCCTCAGCTTTGGTAAGCCGAAGGTCCCGAGTTCGATTCCCGTTGGGTCCCTCAATATTTTTCCGTCGTCGGTTCCTACCCATTTTTCCTTTTCTAAAATCACCAATCAGTTTACTCCGGTTTCACCCTTAGCGCGTTATCTTAGGGTGGGGTGTACAATGACCGGAGAGAGTGTTCGGTGGACGGATGCGTGGAAATCCTGTGGAATCTCCGCTTTTCTAGGCTTAGTTAAGGTCAAGTGGCCCATCGACGTTGGCAAAAGTCGTGGGCCACTTTTCTATTTTTCCCTTCGGAGACTCCAGGATTCGTGGCAGGGGCTGGTCCTAGGGACTAAGTGTCGCAGGCAACGCAATAAACACTTGTGGTGTTTCGAGGAAAGGATATTTGCCTGCGACGGCGACCACTTGACTCGCTGCCATAAATCCGGCTACAGGATACGCCTTAACGCACAACGATTAGCAATCAGTCCACATTCTAGACGCTATTTTCTCTGGAATTTCGAAAATTCTCCTAAGGCTCTCCTAACGGTTTCCATACTTAGTTTATTTAATCTTGGAATGGAATATTGTTTAGGCAATGAGAGTTTTGGAAAAGGAAAAGGACGTGGTGCGTAAGGGAGAAATTAATGGACTGTAAAATGCTGTAAAACAATACTGGTATATTGTAACCTTTTGTAAAGTACATTCTGTACAGTTATCTTACAATAAATAATCCATTTTTTGATAAATAATTGCATTTCCTCGTGTCATTTCTTTGATTTCTATGATATCCTGGAAGGTCCCCTCTGTAATTCATACGCAGAAAACATTAATTTTTCTAATTTATAATAAAAGTTATAAATAATTTAGCAACAGCGAAAAGAGGCAAGGACAGCACTAGAGAAATGAGTTAGACAAGGAAAGGTATAGGGTTAGACAAGGACAGAGAATTTTCAGATCTGAAGCAACGCCATCTCGTGTTTGACCGCGTGAACTAAAGACTCGTTACTAGGATAACAGAATATAAACAGAGGTATTAGACAAGGAAAGCACTAGTGTGCGAGAAGGACAGAGAGAAGACTCTTCCTATTGGCTGGCGGGCCGCCATGCTCCAACTCCCAAGAGCTAAATTAAGTTGGTTAGGGAAAAATCATTAATAACTCAATAATTACGATGATTTTGTGAACTTTTAGAATTGAGGAATGAAGTGTGGACCTTTAGCAACTTTCTCGTATAATTTTTAATGGACTAGACCCCTTCAATAATTAGTTATTAACAATTTTAGGACGGGATGTCAGGAACGGTACCGTTTACGGTTATATACGTTTACGGTTTTTCAATAATTTCGTAGCTTTCTACTAAGTTCCCATGCAAGTAACTATACGCATCTGAAAGGCAATTCCATTAGCTAGATTCTTCTGCAAGTTTTATTAACATATTCGATTTAGTTCACGAGCTATTAAACATTATAGGGGAGAGTCCCGTATTGGTCCTACTGGTGTATAGTCAAGTGTTATAAACAATTATTAATATCTAGTAAACCACGCGACTTACAGCTACCAAACTAATTGAAGAATATAGATAAAGGTCCATTCTACATTCTACATGCTTGAAAGTGCATAATTAGTCGTGTATGTCTATTGAAATAACGAAAATGTGTTACGCTTAAATGCGACGGATGATTACTCACCCAAAGAATGTTAAATAACTATCAAACCACAAGGAATATGTCAATAAAAATTATATGAGAATGTAGCTAAAGGAGTTAAATTTCAGATGCATACAGTTAGTTGCATGAGAATTTAGTAGAAAGATATGAAATTATAGAAAAACCGTAAATGTATGCGGTATCGTTCCCGACATTCCGTGCTAAAATTGTTAATAACTAATTATTGGAACGTCTTAGAGCCTTAAAACCTATATGAGAAAGTTGCTAGACGTTCACACTTCATTCTTCAATTCTAAAAGTTCACAAAATCATCGTAATTATTGAATTATTAATGATTTTTCACCGACCGACTTTATTTAGGGCCTGAGAGGCAGAACATGGCGGCCCGCCGACCAATAGGAAACGTTTTCTCTCTATCCTTGTCGCACACTAGTGCGTTCCTTGTCTATTGCCTCTGTTTACATTCTGTGTTCTTATTACAAAATCGTAATTCGAGTCATCAAACGCGAGATGGCGTTAGTTTCGTTTCGAAAATTTTCTATCATTTCTCTAGTTACTATCCTTGTCTACCCGTATTCCTTTCCTTGTCTTACTCATTTATGTATTGCTAAATACTTGAACGAGTTATCCTTCGTAGTAATCACGACTAAAAATATATTAGATTGTGTAGGTAGAACTGTTCGCAATCTTTTGACAGCAGTGGAATACAATCATGTGATAAATCATCTACTAATAAACAATTACGTTACTGTCTTATTTGTAATTTCATAGTGACGTTTGTAATGTTTGTAATGTAACATTAGTAATGTTGTAATCTTATTCTATGCTAAATCGGTAACATTGAGAGCGACACGAAAATGGTAAGGGTCTTCTCGGCCCCCGTGCCGCGGACATAAAGTCCCATAAGATGTTAGGTCTATCCTGTACGTTGTCTATGATAAAAGCTTTCGCTATAATGCTTCGACTAAGAACCTCATAAGCACAAAACCATCAATTGACTCCAACGGGAAACGTTACAACTAAATTGATTAGAGCTTCTCGTCCAACGGAAGCCAGCGCGCTTTACCGCGACACATTAAACGACATCCTCCAGATTAATGCGATGCACCTAATAAAAACAAAGCCTTTCCAAGGCTACCTCGTCTTGGGAGACGTCTCATTAAGTGAAGAACCGACAAAGATAAAACAAACTAAACGAATAATCAACGGATAGGAAGCATGGTGGTCTTTCTTCCGCTCTTATCTGGGCCCATGTGCTTCTTATTGGCAAACAGAACAGGTAGAGATAAGTAAAAGGAAAAAGTTCCCGGGCAAGAACATCTTGATAAGCCGAGAAAAAGCAACGAAAGTTTTTTTCGGTAATATGTAAGCTTTGCGAAGTTTCTGAAATAAAAATGCTCGCTAAGGAAACACCGGTGCAGCAACAGGATTTAATACACGTTCTCAAACTTCAAACAGCCAGTTTTCGCTTACACCAGTGTTACTATTATATAGGATGTTATACATCGAGAATGGATTTTCAATTGTCTGAATCATAATAAAGAGTTGTGTCATAAAAACATCCGTATTTAAGTAAATGTAAAATAAGAAAAATTTTAAACGCTGACATATAAATTCAATTGAATCCCTCAAACAATTAATATTTTATTTATATAACTCGTATAAACTATAAATGTTTGATTTACACGTGACTATACATTTATATAATTAAATAGTATCGTGAAAAGTCCTTGAAATAGCGCAATCTTTTAAAAGTACAATAAAAGTATAAAATATTCCATAAAAAATATATGTTCAGATAAACAAAATAATGTGTATAGATATAACAAAACATATGATTGAAGGAGTTCAGTAAAAAGAACACAATAAAACAAAATTAAATGCAATTCTTTCTGCTCCAAAATTGATTAATATTTATGACAGCCACCTAAACAGGTTCAAGTGGATAAAGGCATCACTTGATCAGATAAATTACTGGTAGGTTATCTTGTAGTCGCTATCGCGTAGTTTTTCGCTAGCGCTATCTTTGCTATTATGCGGCATAATTTACATAGCGAACTAACTATTACGCTTCAAATAATGACTTAAAACAAGAATAACCGTAAATTGTTAATAAGTAAATTAATAATCAAACTAAGTTTATGCTGTGTTTATTTGTTCGTTTGTTTTATATTAAACATTGTACTTATTGAAAAATATACATTGGCAAATAAATGTTACTTCTGCTAAAACGATTAAAAAAAAAAAAGGAAACACGTACAATAAAAAGAACAATATTGCTTCACACTTGTAGCGCTACTTATTACTGAAAGTTTCAACAGGTTGCCTCTATTATTACATCCACCTGATATATGACATAATCGATTAAAAATATATTAGTAACGTTTGAAAAATGTGAACATAATTATGGTCATACACGTGAGTAAGTATAACACAGAAATTATAAATGGAAAATGTTAAGAAATGAATATTACTATACAGAGAGTACTTATATTTTCATAATTACACTGTTGTTACAGATCTATTCTATGGATGAAGATATAAATATCGGCAAAGTACGACTATGATTATTTCGAGAACATGAATCTTTAAGTAGAAAACCGCATTTCCAGCAAATGAATTTATTCCATAGATTACATTACAAAATATTACACCTCATTTTTTCACGCTGGAACGCCGTTGCGAAAAACTACTTTTATCCGTTCATCAACTTCTTCGATTAAAATAGAGGTGCTTTAGTATTTCGCGCGTTTGTTTCCTTTTCTATACTGCATATAAATTTCTTTCCCCTACACTGCGAATAGGTGGAAATCTACTATTATCTCTTGCCAGAAATTTCATTTCGCTTCGCTAATTATATCTCTACAAATCCTTCGACTTTATTTTTATCAAGTAAAAACACATGCGAACGCAAATGTGTGACAATGAAAAAAGTACTATGAATAAGGTTGTAATAAAAATAGTAAGTTCACATCGCGTCTCACGTGAATGAACACACTCGAATTAAATATCTAGAATTTAAACGCTGTGTCTTGTATGTGCATAATCTTACGAAATGTTAATTCAAGAAGAGTAAGATCATGTTAGCTGTCTCAAAGCAAAGTCTATCTTTCAGCAAATGCAACTAAGTAAATAACATTGTCCGTAGAAACTTTTGATTTCTGTAACAGCTTTCTTTATTTCTTGATAACTGTTACTCATATAGTATTATCATAGGGTATGTCAAATATTTATAACGTATGTATAGTGATACTTCGTTTACGCATTGCTTTTGCAACTTGTATTACTCAACTTGTCAAGTACAATAATTAATTGTACCAAATAGCTGTAAAAGAAAAAGTAAAGAGTCAATATATTCTTTCTTTCGAGCCAAATAATTTAATATATGTGAAGTCACACTACCAAATTACCTTGTAACTGAACACTTTAAGCCTCAGGCGTAGCTAAGGGGGCTTCTTTCTTTTCCTCAATTGTAACAGCTTCTTTTTTATCACCCGCTGCTTTATCGCTTTCATCCACTTCCTTTTTTGGAGCAACCTTAAATTATTACACATATATTTAATGATGTTGCAAAAATACTCCAACAATAAACAGCTTTGTAATCCTTTTTAGCTAAAATGATCTTACAAATGGCATAGTGCAAAATGTCATAGTAATACAAAATTTTTAGAAACACAGCTATCAGAAAGTTATGAATGATGGAGATAAATTTATTAATGATAGATTTGACTGTGTTTCAACACTATTTATTTGATACATGTTCTTAAAACAAATTCAGTGTTAGATTATTAGACAACATATACATTATATTCATATATATGTAGCCAATATATATAGCCAAAACTTGCACAAATTATAAATTGCTAATAATAACATTAGATTAATGTTTGTACAACTTATATGCAACAACTTAAAAATCTACAAAATATTAAAAATGATGTTAAATCATGTTAAAACATCTAAACTAATCCCATTTTATAACTATAGTCCAAAATGTAATTAAGAAATTATTTAAGAAATAGAAACTATCATAGTGTTCTAATACAAATATTTTCCATATTTTTCAACCCATTAAAAGCCATTAAAAATAATTTGTGATTACAAATAATAAATTGCATCCCTACTACTAATATACATGCACTATATTAAAAGCCTTTTTTATAGTTTTCTATACATCATGCATTTAAGCTGATTTATTACCTCCTCTTTACTAGCTTCATCAAAATTTTCCACTAAGTCAGGCACCTCATCATCCTCTTCCAATGTTGCTTTACCAACAGTACTGCCAGAAACTGTACTTGCTAATCGTTTCAACTGTGTAACACCTTCAGGTCCCAGTTGACTTATAATTCCCGGTAACATGTCAGTTATTTGTTTATTCTCACCATGACCAGTAATGGCAAATGTGTTAGCAGACAGACTAGCCTGAGCTTTTGGATTATTAAAGTGGATGACAGTACCATCATCCTTAATCATATTAACCTCCTCTATACCAGGAATTGTATTCACAGACAATTTCTTTAAACAACTTTGTAATTTCTTATCATCTGTAGCAGCAGTAGCATGTACAACCTAAAAATGTACACAAATAAATAAATACATTGGTTAACCATAGAACTCTTTGTCTTGCAAACATTTTTGTTAATGGCTGAAATCCTTAAAAAATAATAAAAATCAAGTTTCGTCGAAATTATAAAGAGAACGAAATCAATTATATTGTGTGAAATTTAATACTAAATATAAAATCAAAATCCAACTTAAAGTTCTAAACTAACAACTATAAAATAAACTACAATTTGACATGCTAAAAATGAAAGACGAAAATCACAAAAACAGCATTGTAAATACGAAACATATAAAAATAATATACAGAAGTAATCAAAACGTGTCTTACAAAGATTACAAAGCTTTGATGCCTCGTAGGAGCGGTAATCAGTGATCATGGAACGAGATCTTTTCAGAAATACGCAAATCATAGATCGTTCAATTGACATTTCAAATGTACTTTTTCATAAACTTTTAAACTCGTGACACGATAGAAGTTGCAAGAATGCCGTAAATTTGTGTTAGCTTTTGAAATAAACCTACATACCTTCTTCTTGCGTCGGGGTGTTCCCTTACCGCCGATTCGTACTTGAGCTTGAAGCTTCTTCAACTTTTCAGGATTCATGGTAACCTGTCTATACGACGATCAAAAACTTTTGATCCTTGGCCACCAAGCTTGGACAGACACAAGTCTGACGCAAAGTTTTATACGATAAAATGAGCTGAACGTGACCGGCGAGCAAACACGTGCTCTCTGTTCGCCGAAAGGGTCAAGAAAATGGAAGTGTACGCTTCTTTAGCTCTCTACGTCAGAGACAGCTTCCGGCAGGGCTACGCTTCCGTTTAAAGTTTGGCTCAAAACACTGCACTGATTAATTGTGAATGATATTGTTCGTAGACATAGGACATATAAGTCGACTCAATAAATCGAAATTTTTTATAAAACATTTTACTGAATTGAAAGGTTCATTTTACTTATTAATCACCATTGCGTACAATAGTTCACCTGAACATGGAGGTTATGGAAAACATCATGTTACAACATACAACTTTGAAGAAAAAAAATCTTCATAAATGGTCTTATAATAGAATTCGAAATTGTTATACCATGAAATCTGAAAAATTGGAGTAGCCCATTAGGAAGAAACTATCGAATAAATGTAACAATAGAAAATCGCTGAAATTATTTGAAAATTAAATAAATTTTCTCGAAAGTAAGGCGCGAATGTGAAATTCAAAATTTTAAATTACAATTGTGTATAATGTACTCTTTCTTTTCATACTAATTAAGAATTCTTATCTTTTGTATATAAATATTAAGAAAAATGAAACTGCAATATATAACGGTAATTCATATTTGTATTTATGGTTTATAT